GCGAACCAAATAAAGTGGATCATGATTTATTTAAACATATAGGTCGCAGTACTTTTAGAAAATTAATTACAATGTAATAGGGGATTTTTTTAATGCAATTATTTTCGTCGTGGGTCACGCGATCAACCATAAGTCACATAAGGCTATCAAATGCAAGTCACGCTAGAAAGTCTAGACGTTACTGTGACACGTCAAAAATTGTTTTCGATATTGGCTCGTTTACCTTAGATGCTTGCACTTGATTGGTTAATACTTTGACAGATAGGAATCGTCAAGATCCATCATATTCTTATGAATAAGGAATTGAAAAGAAATTCTTGGAACTGAGCTTTATAAATTTTTTAAACCGAGATCGATGGATGCATAATTCAAGGTAACTGCCTACTTTTTTGGGGGGAAAAACGTAAACTTTGAAGTGAAATTTAATGYAAATTCCAAATATGAAAAGAAAAATGTAGTGTCCCAAGCTTATTTTTGCTAGTCAGTTCAAGCAAAAAAATTGCGCCACCGGAAGTGATCAGAAAAAGATTCATAAGATAATAGTTCTTTGCAGACCTTATAATTGTACAAATAACCTGCCAGTGAATCATTCTACAATAATACATGGATGTTTTTGACAAAAAGACAATGAAATGCATTAATTTGGACATATTTCGTTCTTACAGTGCTCTCAAAAAGTCGAATAAAAATCCTTACAAAATATTTTTGTTCGTTAGAAAAATTAATTTTAAAATGTTGAATTGAGCTTATACAAAGTATATATAGAGTCCCGTGCAAAAAGGGATTTTACCTCGTTGAAGTTCAAAACATGTATGGTTCTGGTCAATAAAATGTGGAAGGTTATTCAGCGCTTTAGGGATTTTTCCCTAGGGATTTTTAGTTCTCAACTAGGTGGTTTTGACACTGATCATCTGGGCAGTACAAAGGACACTTCAGTCTCGTTCACACAKCAGATGGTTCAAAAGAAGATAAACATAAACAGCCAGGATAAACTGAACATCGGCTAGATTCAGATTTATGACAACAATGTTGGATAATCAACATTTTTACAATAACTGACAAATTTCTCGCGCGCTGATTRGTTMATTTTTATCATCAATAAGAGGACAGACAGATAAAGCTGACGTCAACGAGCGCGCGCTCTTTCCGTTAGTTGTTTTGATCAGTAAAAATGAAAAGTTTTTATCGTTTTTGTTATTGTAAAAAACAAATTGACATCAGATTTTTATGTGTCTGTCCTCTTATTGACAATAAATTTCGCCATCACATTGTCAAAGTAGTATGCGGATCCACTCGGCTACGCCTCGTGGATCCACACTACTTTGACAATGTGATGACGCAATTTATTGTCAATAAGAGGACAGACACATAAAAATCTGATGTCAATATGTTAAATGAGTTTCATATAAACCAAAATTCAATATTATAGTGTTTTGTAGCTCCTCTCAGCTTTCTAGCTAACTAGTTAGCTATTTTTCTAGGCACGAGATGGATGGGGATGGCTGGTCTATTCCAGAGCAGTCGAAATCTGTGAGTGTGTTTTTACTTTTGTTTATAGACCAAATTCAAAACTCGCACCGATGTGAGGCTTAAGTAGTGAACAAAGGAATCTGGCGTGATTCGTGACTTTTAAATCACGCCAGATTACTTTGAGTCACGCCAGATCCCTTTGTTCACAACTTAAGCCTCAYRTCGGTGCAAGTTTTGAATTTGGTCTATAGGGTGGGTTTCTTTAAYCTATGCATCCATACAACAATTCAGTTCCACTCGCATTTATACACTATTCATCCTGCTATCCAACTGCCCAACCATATCAACCATCTCCCTTCTATCTATAAAGATTATAAAGATTGTAAAGATTGTAAAGATTGTAACTTACAATTACTTGAAGCGCATTAGATCATATATTTTAATGAATTTTGCGCTATATAAGTAATAAAATTATTATTATTATTATTAT